AAACTTAACCCACTTTTGAGTTTCCAACCTAAGTGTTATTCAAAGCTGTTCTGAAATGAGGTAGCACGTTTGGAAGTTTACTTTCTTTTTTTACAATTCCAATTACTAATTATGAAAAAAGTTGTCAGGCCCTACATTATTACTCAAAATTCCCTCCAAATACCAAGTTTTGATATGGGAATTTCTGAATAATATACTCTGCAAAGTGCTGACTACCTGCTTATTCTTGAGTCCCCAAAGGGGGAGAGCCATGGGTCTCTTGGATAACAGCCAACATTTATGGAGCTGCTGGTGTGACCCTGTGTCACTTCATTTAATCATCACAGCTCCACGAATTAGATGTGATAATTATTCCACTTTCCAGATATGCAGATGAGGCTCAGGGATATCGGCCAACTTGTCCAGGGTCTCCCAGCCAGGATGCAACTCACAGGTCTGACTCTAGAACAAAAAGCTGAGCTGTCCTCCTGACCTAACCTGTGGCCTTTTAAGCTTTCTGTGTTTCTTCCCTGGGGAGCTGCCCTCTGCTTTCTGAGTGCTGTTTTGATAAGTAATGAGTTAAAACTACTTTTTGTGAGAAGTACAACTTCCTGGTTAGGGGAACGACTGAAAATAAATTCCCCCACTGGCGCTCCCAGGACATTTCCTGTGCAACACGTTGATTGTCCTTCCTTCCTGAAGCAACAGCTCAGGATGCTACTATTTAACCTTTCAACACCAATTAACACAAAAGCCGAAAAGCACTTTAGCAAAAGTTGCTACAAATGTACATTGCATTCATTTTCAAAGTGGGGCAGGTGCCACTTTGGGCTTTTGTAGTGTGTTTTTCTTTGGTTTACTAAGACGCATGGTTTCTGAGAAGTCCCTGAGCTAGAACCATCCTCTGGGCTGAGCCCCCTGGCACTGGGAGGGAACATCCTCATGTACTGGGGCAGCAGAAGGTTGCGCACCCCTGGTACCTAGTGAATCTTCCCATCACCCTCGGCATGAAATACAGACCTTTACAGAGCCCACAAGGAGAGTCTGCTTATTCACTGGGGTCTCTGCACACAGTGCCAAGGCTCCAGGCTCTTTTTAAGAGCTTACAAAAATGTTTGTGACTGGAAAAAGCAACTAATGGCCCCCAAATATGAAAGGGAAGTTGCAAAATGGAAAAGAAGAAGTTTAAGTAAGTGTCTACACACTGTAACAGGTCAGCCTTGTTAATGTTTAAATTTAGCGTTCATAAAAATTTCACTACATATGAAAACAATTTATGGGTTAGATTTTTTCTTAGTATGTAAAATGATTTCTTAGAAATCATAGCTCTTTATAAATTAAACGACTTAATTACAATCTGTGAAATCATCCTGATTGTTTTCTTGCTTGTTATCTGTGTCCTCCTACAAGAATATATCTGTGTCCCCCTATAAGAATATGTGCATCACGAAGGGGCAGGAGACCGAGTGACAGTCACCAGCTCTCTTCCACATGCACATAGCTACTAGCATGTTGTACCATCTGGGGTGATTCTGACAAGTTGGTGCTGCCATGAAGATTGTCTGGAAATGGGTCCACTCCTGGAGGTACCTGAGCAGCAGGATTTCAGCATAGAACAGGCTGAGAGAACCGTGAGGCACATGCAGTCGGAACACTGTCTGTTTGTTAACAAGGAAAACAGTCACTTCTGCAGCAAGAGCGCAGACCCCAGGAGGTGGCTGACCTCCAGGATGTTGTCACAGCCCACAGGGTAGTGCCTTGCTGTGTGCCTGCCCTCTGCCCAGACAGCAACCTCTCTGCTTTCTCAAGTGTCATCTTTTCTTCCGGGGAAAGGAGCGAGCCGTGGCCCTTTTATGCCGCTGATCTCCAGAGCTGAAGTCCCTTTCAGGTGCATATTCTGAGCCAAATCTTTCTTCAAGGACGTCCACTGGATCAGCCTCCAGGCTGCTCAGAAGGGTCTTGTTTCTCCCGCTCTCTCCTCCACCCACAGCCCCAGGATACCTTCCACTCTCCAGGAAGGGTCACCTCCAGATTGTGCTCTGGAGATGGTGTTGCCAGGCAGAGAGCCTCCGCAGCAGACGTGTTGTGCATTTGGACTTTGGGTAGGAAAACTATAATGAGCTTTAGGGTATTTTTAGGAACTGCTATGTATACTTCGTTTGTTCCTAAAAATACAACACAAAATTTGATTTCAAAAATCCACAGGACAAGCCAATTTTGAAAACTTTAATCAGGTTAGAATTTGGCAGTATTTAGACCCAAGTTAAAATCGAACTTGAGGTTTGGGGGAACTTAGTTCAAGTAATTACTAATTTAAATCTTTGAGGGGTAAAAATAACTTAGAATTTAAGTAAAATGTGAGGAAATACTTATTAGTTCTAGATTTATCTGAATTTTTCATCCTAAAAGATTTTATTTAGGTTTTCATTTTTCTCTATGTCAGATGATGGTTTTTACTCAGAGCTTTTAATCAGATTTTTAGATGAAAATAGTTTTTATCCTTATTCAAGAACTAAATTTCTTCCTGAAAGAAAAATGTCATTGAGATTAATTGTTCCATATTAATATATATTGTTTAAACAGAAAACAGTAACAGCAAGATTACTTCTGGAAAAAAATGCTTAAATGGTTTCTGGCTTGAAGGAATGTTTTATGTAAATTAATTCAAGTTGCCTATGGGCAAGAAATAAAATCGGGCAGTTGAAAACGTCCCAGAGGATAAGTGTGGAAAATCTTTTATAATATCACTTTTGAAACCTGACAAGTGTGTGGATGGATAATAAAACACACGTCTCGGTAACCTCTTTAAAAATGCCTCCCACTTTTAGGAGGGGGATTGTCGAGTTTGTCGGGATTGGGGGCTTTTAGCCTGTTAAATGGTTTGAATAATGATTTGGTTATAATGCTTCATTCCCTATTGCTCTGCGTTAAAATATGCATTTCCAGTGTTCAAACTGCATCTTGGTCCATCAGCTCTTAAAATGACATGTGCTTTCCAACGTGATGAGCACACAGAATCTGATGATGTTTAGAGGAGAACCATATATGAAAAAGTATGAAAAAATAAGTTTTTTATCCCTTCTAGACTGTTGGCAAGGATGGTGGAATGAGCTCACAGGGGCAAGAGAGCTCATTTTAACCTTGGCCCTGTCAGCAGTGCTGGGAGACCTTGAGAAGGCTCTTGACCTCTCTGGGCTTCATCTGTGAAATGGACATGCTCTTCCTCACCCAGCTCACAGAAAAACTAGGCATTACACATGGTGAAGGAAATCCAAAATGTGCCCTCTTGGCATATTGATTACTTTGAATTAAATAAGTTAAGAAACAGTAGGTGCAAGAAGGACACTCCTTTTCTTCCTCTAAGCAGGAGATAAAACTCTCAAGGGAAAGGTGCCTGCTCTGTGCTGGGAGGAGGGAAGAAATTCTTATCACCGGAGATGGGGGATTTGGGGCAAACAACCCTGTTGGACTCACCCTCATCTTACTTCTTACCTCACCATTTACTACCCCTAGTCCAAACCCGTCTGTCTTGTCAATTGTTCACAAATTTATTGTTTCTTTGTCTAAAAGGTAGAAAGGCTTCCTGTTCTGGTTGCGTCTTCGGATCTCATCAGCTTGTGAACTCTCCCGTGTACGTATAAAAATTTAATAAAATTTGGATGCTTTTCTGCTGTTAGTCCGCCTTATGTCAGTTTAGTTCTTAGGCTCAGCTGGAGACCCTAAGAGGGGAGAGGAGAATTTTCTCCCCCTCTAGAAAGAATATGCCTTGAAAAATATAAATACTATAAAACCAAATTAAGTTACGAAGTTGAACCACGTGGAACTGCCATTTTTACAGGTGACAAAGGTCAGATAGAAGCAATTCTATAAATAAGGTTTTTGAGTCTATAAAACCAAATACTATATTTTAGCTGAACTATATATGCATTAATATGTTCGTAAAAAAACAGGCCAGTGGTATCAGGCAGAATATCGAAGTATTTAGGAATCTGATCAAATGCCTTCACTAACCACTCTATTAACAACGACGGCGGTGGGCCGCCTATCTTGTGCTAGACCCTGCGCTTGGTACTGAGGATACAAAATGAAGGAGACAAACTTTCTGCCCTTAAGGAATCTGAATAAGTGCTAATATTAAAATACATGAGAAACTTCTTTTGGCCTAGTTAAGGATGGTTTTCTGAAAATCTGAAGTTTTCATATGAATTTGACCAATTTGATCCCCCCACTTGGCTTCTGCGTGCCCCAAGGAGACTGCTCCCACAGGGCTGGGTACAGAGGGGCTCAAGAAGCAGTGGATCTGGGCCGTGGAAGGGCATGGTCCCAGCACTGAACTTCGACAGCTGAATTAAATCCCACTGGGACAAGCCAGGCGTTTCTCTGTGTGTGGTCACCCGTGCAGACTCCCAGCACTGCCTCCTCCACAGCCCCTGGAAATAAAGCCTGAGGTCAGATGTGGAACCAGCCTGGCCCTGGGAAGGACCTCAGGGGGCCTCAGCGAGTTTGTGTAACCACCAACTCAAGGATGGTCAATCGAATCACTCCTCTGGCTTTTTCCTGCCTTCACCTGCTGTGACATCAGTCAAGAAAGGCAGACACCGACAGCCTTTCATCAGTTTTCAAGGGGAGGGGAAACTTGGTATGGAATATTATATTACTGAAATGACTAATTGGAAAGCTCTCCTGGTCAATTGTATCAAAAAGTCAAACAGCTAAATGTTCTCTCTCACATCCATTGTGCCTGTCAGTGAGCCTGTATGGGGTTCTAGGTGTCTACTTGATGATGTCATTCTTATGTAGTTTTCAAAAATAACACTGCAGCATTTGCAAAAAGAATAACATATTTGATCACTTTGGTTTATATCCACAAATATATGTTAAGCGTCAAAGACCTGGTTGATCTGATAAAAGGGATCTCTTTATTTGCTTATTTGTACTAACAGGCAGGGTTTACAGCATTTGTTTTTGAATTCACCACAACGTGGCACTCTAGTAATTTCTGTATCTCTAAATGTTTCTAGTTGATGGAGATGCCTTCCAAATATTGGACTCCTAGCAAGAATCTCTGCCTGAAAATGTGAGTCATTCTCCAAGGTCACCACTTATGAAGTCATGGAGGGTCTAGATAATTAAGTACGTGGGCTTCACTTGCCACGATCTTTCCCTGTGCTCTGCTTAAAACACAAGAGCAAAAACAAAATGCATTTGCTTGATTTCTTAATCACTGTCTTTTCTGTTTCTTTCTTGAAGGCAGTCAGGAATAGGAAAAATTAAAATCTTACTGTAATGACCGTGGAAACAAACCTAAAAATTAATAAGTAAGTGAATATAGAGGTGTGGTATGGAGTAACCCATTTTGTTCATGGAAGATGTTAAAGCACACAGAGAGAAGGACATTTATTTCAAATACAGGAAAATACAGTGATTTTACTCTAGGATTTTGATGCATCCTCACCAGATGACTAGGTTTCTTGACAGGGTCTGCAGGCTCAAAGTAGTGGCCTCTTCATGACTACAGGCTTGAGATCATCCATCAGGCCTTTTCAGGAGAATTAACTATAAGAGGCTGGACAGGGCCAACCCGCTTCTCCACCAAGGCAGCACGTGGAAGTCAGCTCATCGGCCCTCTGACTAAACCTGGAATGACAGCAGCTATGAACACGCTGTGTGCTGATTCTGACTTAGGGAAGACTTAAACCCCAAATTCAGACTCATCAACAGTCGTATGTAGTCTCACATCCCTTTCCTGACCCCGTTACCTTCATCGCAAAGGAATTCTCAACCTCCCTTTTACTGTTTGCCCTCATGTTTATATTTATACAAAAAGGAAATAGAACAGAGAGAAAGATGAGGAAGGAATTGAGAGAGGAAAATTCAGAATAACCTTTTCTCAGCTTCTAAAACGGGCTTCATCTCCGCTTGTCGTTACACAACTAAAGAGAATGAAATGGCCAGTATTTGCCAAACCCGCCAGTTATCAGGCGCTTCCCAAACAGTACATTCGGAGGACGTGTCAATTATGCAAGGACTAGAACACAACAAAACACAGGAATCAAACAGGTACGTGGTTCTACAAATTAAAAATGAGGGGAATTGAGTTTGAAGGGCAGGCCTGCTTGTCCACACCGCTGGGAAGCCCTTCTCACATTTCACACTGTTTTCTTACGTGTGAACCGCCAGCTCTCTGAGCCAGGCCTGTTCCTCATTGCCGTGACGTTAAGAGATGCTCTGTAGTTTCTGGCATATTGCTCTTGATTTATTGCCAATGATCTGTGACTAAGGGTAGGCCTGTGCTACGTTTCCGACATCTGGTTTTAAAAGCTTGCAAAATTCCGTATGTTTTGAGTATTCATATATTCGATTATTCTCCACTGCTTGAACATTTTCATGACTCTAGGTTTTTCCATTTCTGAGATTTCATGCTTTCACCTAACTTCTCTCAGACTGCATCTGCTTTTCACACTGAGTATGGCCTTTGGTCCTTTAATGTCAGTTTATTTTCCAACTTATCTCCTGATGACATTTTCACTTCTACCTCCACCGGACCCAGTGGAGAGTTTGCACTGAGATCCCACGGTCCTCTGCCCTTTGTCACATCTGCTTTTCCATCCTCCCAGCCCAGGCTGCCTTCTTCTCCCAGCAGAGGGTCATAGGATGCAAGCATTTACTGAAGTCATGTAGACACGCATCAAATTTCAACTCTACTGCTCATAGCTCTTCACTCAGACAGGTGATTTAGCTTTTCAGAACCTATCAGCTACTCTAAAATGTGGAGATGGTAGGACCCTCCTCAGTGGTTATGTGGTTTAAATGAGAAGGCATGTTAAAAGTGTCCTCAGACAAGGCACACTGTCCACACTCAGTGTTTGGCCTTCCCTTCTAAGGTTAGTCCAGATCTGGTGGATGCCGCTGGAGGAAGTACAGGTTTAAGCCCACTACAAATTCTTGCCATCTACTCATACATTAGATTGTTATTTATTTCTTATTTATTCTTGTTTTAGTCAGGGTTCCTGGCTGCCAGCAAAGAATCCAGTCCTGATGGTCTTCCTCCCTCCCCCTCTCCTTCTCTCCGCCTTCCTTCCTTCCTCTCTTTCTCTCCCTCCTTGTCCCCGCCTCCCTTCCTTTCCTTCTTGCTAAATTAGAGTGTAATGTAAATTTAGCCCAGTGAAGTTTTACACATGTACACACTCTGCATCCCAGACCCCAGTCAAGACACAGACCATCTTCAGAAGCCCAGGAGCCTGTTCCTGTGGCTCTTCCCCTTACACAGTCCGCTGCAGAGATAACCGCTCTTCTGACTTCTATCACCAGAGATTCCTTTTAGTTTTGCCTGTTCTTGAACTTCACATACATGGAACCGTGTGGCAAGTATTCTGCTGTTTCTGGTTTCTTTTGCTCAGCAATGTCAGTAAGATTCTTCTGTGTTGTTATGTTTTTATGTGGGGTGGTAGTATGTTCTTTTCTTATTATTAGTGGTGTGTGGTATCCCACTGTATGAATATAGTACAATTTATCCATTCTATTTTTTTTTTTTTTTTGAGGAAGATTAGGTCTGAGCTAAAATCTGCCAACAATCCTCCTCTTTTTGCTGGGGAAGACCGGCTCAGAGCTAACATCCATGCCCATCTTCCTCTACTTTATATGTGGGACTTATCTATTCTATTTTAGATGGACATCTTGGTTTTGGTTATTATGAATTGAGCTACTATAAATATTTTTTACAAGTCTTTGGTAGGTCCGTGTGCACTCATTTCTGCTGTGTGTGTACCGAAGAGTGAAATTGCCGGATCACAGTGTAGGTGGAGTTTAAGCTTTAGCAGACACTCACACCTGAGCTGGTTTAACCAGGAAGGAATTTATTGCGGGTTATCAGATAGTTCATGGATTCAACGGACAGACAGTCTCTAAGGCTGAGTTTCCAGAGCCACACTGCAGAGTCGGCCTGGGAAGGACTTGTCTGCTCCAGCTGACCTGGAAACATGTTGTCCCTGATGCAACAGAAAGCTTCCGTCATTGCCACCAGCCCTGGAAAGGCCCCTCTGGGCTGAAGCGGAGGATCACCTTGCTGCACCGTGTGGTGGAGGGGATCTGAGAGGCCAACTTCTTCAGAAAAGGACCTTCAGCAAATCATCCCTTTCTAGCCTTGCCTCGCATCTCCTGCTTCAGAAGTACCTGGGGTTTCATAGTCCTGAGACTTAGGGCAAAGCAACAATATGGTGTCTCTTATTTCTACCAGCACAAGCTTCTGCTTCAGTTTTCTCAGGATTTCTAAGTCAGTTACTATCCACCCATCTGCTTGGTAGCTTTCAAAGTTTTGCTGAAGTCTCTTATCTCCTCTTTGTCTTCCTTTCTACTCAGCTTTACTCTCGTAGATTTTGGCCTTTGCTTCATTCCTTTACTGTCATCTGGGCAGGATTCAGGATGAGAATTCTCTGCGTACAGCTCACTATTTTTAAGCCGAAGTCTTCTTATTACATTTCTCAAAATGCTGCTCCAAACTTGTCCGACTCTTTCCAAATCTCTACCTAGTCTGCCCCCAACCCAAGTCTAACAGGTGGTCTCCACTTCTGACAGCTCGGTTTACCTCTCCTTCATCTCAGATCTCAGCAAGATGGTGGTGTACGTAGACTCTGAACTCACCTCCTCCCACGAACACAACCAGGTTACAACTACTCTTGGAAAAGTTACCGTGGAGAGAGAGCTGAAAGCTGGATAAAAAGAACCCCCACAACAAGGGACAGTCCTGACTGAAGTGGAAGAGGCAGAAATTCCTTCTGGAGAATAAAACCACCTTCATGAGCCACAGACCTTCACAGCCAGCCAGGTGGGAGCCACCCTAAGGTACGCAGCCCTCCCTGGAGGAGTGGGGACCTGAGGGCGGCTATGTTACCGCTATAAGCATCCTTCAGACTCAGCACAGCTGAGATGGCTTCGTGGGCTATTAACTGCAGTGGGGGTACCACCAGAAAAGCCATTGGAAGAAAGCTGAAAAACCCAGCTCTCAAAGGGCCCACACACAAATTCACCCGTCTCAAGGAGCAACCTAAAATCTCCAAAAAGAAAGCTGCACAGTGCTTTGGTGAAAAGAGACTCACCTCGTAGGCTTTGGGTGCATCTCGGTGAGAGGTGAGATCTCTCCAGAGACTGAGACACTGGTGGTGGCCATTGTTGTGACCTAGTCCAGGCGTGCTGACACGGATGCCGGCAGTTGCCAATTAAGTTCTTCCCCTGGCCTGTTAGCCCAGGGGTCTGCCCCACCCACTAGAGTGCAGATTTAATCCACTTCAGCCAGGGCAGGCAGCCTGCCCTAGAGACCAGCTCCACCCGACAGCAAGCCCTCAGACTACTTGTCAGCATGCCTAGACTGAGTGTCTTGATCCTCTACAGGCAGGTGAGTGTGTCCACCTCTGTGGAGCAGGGCCTGTGTGAGGACCAGGTGAACTGTGGGGGGCGTTGGAGAGGTGGGGGCCTCGGCAGTGGGGCAACTGGGTACACTCTATGGGGCCGGGAAGTGTGCATGGACCAGGGCTGTGTTGACAGTGTGTGTGCACCTGTCGGGGGTGGAGCTTATCAGAGGCAGAAGACCTGTGCTTCATAACAGCCACAAAGAGGATTGGCCCCACCTTCCAAAGCCTGAAACAATTGGGTGCTCTCGTGCTTAGGGGTCCAACTTCTCTGTACTGTTATCAATTTTAGGATGTGGGGCATTAGGAGGAATAATCTGTCCTTTTCAATACTAATTCTTTTGTTTGTACCTGTATCTTCCTCTGGGCTCTTGTTCATCTCACATATAGCTCTCTTAGCCTGGAATATGCATTCTTGGAGATGGCAGACCCCTGAATCAGTGCCATGTGGATGACTTGGGGTACTGTCTCTTTGAACGTTGTTCCCAGACTGGTCCTTTGGCAGACTGTCTTCTGTTTCCTCAAGTTCCTTGAAGTCATAAATGGCCTTCAGACCATTTTCTTCCAGCCACAATTCACATAATCAGTGGTCAATCCTCTCAGGCTGCAATGGAGTTCGTGAAGCCCTTCTTAATCATCAGTGGCCTGCTTCCAACACTGACTCATCTTTGATCGTTACCCTCTGTTAATTTGACCGTTCCCTTGATGGCATCTGGAACCGTTACAGAACTTTTTATTTTTTCACTGCGAAAGATTCGCCCTGCACTAACATCGGTTGCCAATCTTCCTCTTTTTATGTGAGCTGCCACCACAGCATGGCTACTGACAGACAAGTGGTGTGGTTCCACGCCTGGGAACTGAACCTGGGCTACTGAAGCAGAATGGGCCAAACTTTAACCGCTAGGCCATCAGGGCTGACCCTGCAGAACTTTTATGTTCACACGTAGCATAGTTTTCTTTCTTTCGTTGTGGTGGTTCTAGCCCAGCACACTTTTGTCAGCCATTATTAGTCAACACTGAAGGTCAGCCATTTGTTGTCCTCTGTAATGTAAAATAAATGCCAGAGAGGGAGGTGGCAGTAGACATAAGCCACAACTCAGAATGGAGTGGTAGCTGCAACCACTTAGGTTTTGAAGCATTAGACCTCACTGGCTAGAAGTCTGCAATAACTCTCAGAACATGAAAAGCTCTGTGTTTTCCATTCTTCTGTAATCAGTTGTGTGTGCACGTGCATGAGCTACACGAGCACATATACACACATGTATGTATATAACTTTTAAGTAAATTGTTTCGTTGTAACCTTGGGCTCTGTGGAATAGAGAAGGCAGGAATTACATGTCCTCTTTTCCTCTCCACTGGCTACTTTCCTTTTGCTCTAAAAATGCTCAGATTCTCTTTAGATGTAAATAAACTTCCCATCAACCTTGATTCTTATGTCTTTCTCCTTGTAAAATTCAAACATCTCAAAATAGAAGTTTGTTCTCAATTTCCATATCCCTGGCTCCTTCACTCCTTGGAATTCGCTTTTCGGCTCCGACCACTTCACTTGAAGCACTTTCACCAGTGAACGGACGGCCCCTCCTTCTGGATCCATTGCCATCTCCACAGTGTTGATCCCTTTACCTTTCGGGAGGGTTATCCTCTCTCTCTGTGTGAAAATCTCTCTTCTCTCATTTTCCACTACATTTTTGCATCCTAGTTTCCCTCTTTTTCTCCATCTTTAATGGAAATTTTTCTCCTTGTATTTTCTCTTAAATATAAGTGTTTCTCCAAATCCTGTGTCACCTCTCTTATGTCCTCTGCTCCCTGTCCCTACCTCCATCCTTCGTAAATTTAGCCACACTTCACATTTTTTTCTTCAACCATTACAACTGTGTGAACATCAACATCAGCTGTGATCTCTCTTGGGATCTCCATTTTAGTGTTTTCCAGCGGTCTGATGGCCCTCTCCACTCGAGTGTCATGTCAATCTTTCTATCCTATGCCTCCTCACTCTTTCTTACCTTTCCTGTTTAACCAGTTGTCGAGGTCCTGTGGATTTTACAGTCCAACGTCACTGACTGTCATTTCCTTCTTTCTATCCCTACTGAGCTCTCGGGTTCACCCTCATTGATTTTACTTCAATACGTGGATATGTTTCTTAACTGGCTTTCTTGCCTCCTCCAACAGATGAATTCTAGACAGCTCAGCCAGCTTTACTGCATTAAAACACACATAGGAACTTCCCTTTACCTTGCTGAAAACTCCTATGTTTCAGTTACCATACTTACTGCTTATGTAGTAGAAACCTTGACACAGCTACTTTAAATAATGCTGTTTCTCTCCAATAATGAGGAGTTAGGAGACAGAGTACTTCCAAGGCTGGCTGATTTAGTTGTTCAGTGATGGATTCGAGAACGTATATCCCTTTTATCTGTCACTCTGCTGTCCTCAGGTTGATCCCCTAATGGTCCTGGAATAGATGGCTGTCTCAGTCCAGTCACACTGTCTGGATATCACAACATCTCGTAGAGGAGCTAAACCTTTCTCTGTGCCTGTCTTTTATTAAAGCGCAATGAACCCTTTCTAAGATTCACCCCCAGCACATTCTTCTCACGTTTTACTGGCTAGGATGGCCTCCAACACGGCTGCCTACAGAGATAGTTAGCAGCCAACTGGTTTAGAACAATCAGGGTTTATCCTCAGATTCCTATGAGATGCATCCTTGTACAGAGTTTTGTTACAAGGAAGAAGAGTGTAATGGATGCTAGATAGGAAACCTCTGCCTCACTCCTTTCCTTTCTCTGCTCCTCCTTACCCTCCTCCTTTCTCTACCATCTCCATTGCTTTCTCTTTCTTCTCATTTTACTTTGGTCTGTTCTTGATAGTGCACCTCTGGTGACATCCAGGTTTGATGAAGTTTCTCATCTATGAAAAGAGTTCCAGAGAGAAGAATAATTCTTTTCTATGGCTCTACAACATATTTTGGTGTTATGTAATAGATTAGCCAGCACTACGTTCTTGTCGTCATCTATAATCTGCAACTTTGTCCTCTATATACTGCAGGGGAACGAGAGAGTAGTAAGACAAGTCTCTCTCAAAGAGTTTATAATTGAGGTGGGCACACGCACTGTTTACAGGTGAAAAGTGTGAACGGACAGTACCCTTAAATGTCCAGGTAAGAGAGGGAAAACCTTGACATATGCAATCCAGTGGACTGTAGCAATATCTGTCCTTTTGGAGTGTCAATAAATGATGGTGAAATTTTTATCAGTGAGACAATGAATTGTCTCTAAACTTCTTAGGGATAAAAGGACAGAAATTCTAACAGTCCTCCAGAGAAAAGGAGATGTTAGGAGAGTTTTGAGGAGAAAAAAGGGAGTCAAGCAACATGGCCAGATGACGGCCCATGGGGAAAAAATGGGAAAGTGACTGGTTCCCAATGGCAGGAAGCCCAAATGTGCATTGAGACCAAGGAAATTGAGCTTTCAGTGCTAAGTTGTTCATGTTTCTGCGATTTGAATACCCTCCACCTCTCCCAATCTCAAGGACAGTCTCTTTATGTGTATGTTTTACGGGGAACCAAGGAGTCCCATGAGTGGGAGAATATGGAACAGAAGCGACAGGTAAGGATGGAGAGACAAGAATCAGGTGGGAGATTTCATCAACAGCCAGAAGTCGAAGCCAAGGCATGGCGTTGGGACTCCGAGCCAGAACTGCCCGAGGAGTAATACAGTCTTGGGACCGCACTGGCCCCAAATAAGATGCAAGATAAAGAGCTCTGGAAAACTGTATTTACTTCTCAAAGGGTAGAGACCCCTCAGCTGCCGTCTGGGTTGTACATAACAGCACTCAATTAATTGGGAAAACATGAGACCAGGTTAGAGCAGGCATAAAATAAAGCATTCTATAGATTTCATTTGTCTCCTCTTTTGCTTTAACAAATGAGGGGAATATGCTGAAATTAAAAACAAACTAAAAGCACCAGCTTTGGTATTAGGCTGAACTCCCTTCGAGCCTCAGCTCCACCCATGACTCAGTGTGTGGCCTTTGGTACGTTTCCCACCATCAGAGCTTTATTTTCCTCACAAGTAAAGTGATCATGGCAATACCTGCCTTGCAAGGTGTATGGGGCACAGCATCTGGCAGATGGTAAGTTGTGACTGTTGTCGGCGTTATTTCTGCTAATGAGAGAGAACACTCACCGTGCATGCAGGACCCCAGGCACTGCTCACAGCACTTTGCTTAATTGATCTCATTTAATACTTAGAGCGACCCCATAAGGTAAGTGAAAACATCTCTGTTTTTCAGATAAGCAAATGGAGACAAACTGGTTGGCAATCTTCTTAAGGTCATATAGAGGCCAAGTCAGGATTTGAAGCCAGATGGAACCTGTTCTCCCTAACCAGTAAGCTCTGGAAGAGAGTAATAGGTCTGGGGATCATCAGGGTGGACTTCTCAGGTGAGGTGGCTTCAGCTTGGCGTGGAAGGATCTTGAAGGTGTGCTGAGTCATGCTTCATTCCTAAACAACCATAGGGATGCAGGAACACCTGTGGTATGTCAGGATAAGAAGGGAAGCTGAATGAATGGATGAAACTGGGGAAGCATGTGCAAGAAGGTGAGGAGAGTGAGGCAGGACAGGGAGGCGGGACCTCAGGGAAGAGGCTGGCAGGTGCAGTAGAGGCTTGTGGGTACAATAGAGGTTTGTAGGTACAGTGGGTGAGATTGGAGGAAAGCACATTGTTTTGAACTTCTGGAGAATTAACAGGCTGTGAGTTGGGTGAAGCAATTGATTGACTAAAGTCAGCTAAAAAACGGTCCACCACAGACTCTCTGAGGCCAAACCTCAGCGGCTGGAGGATTCAGTCCTTATGCTGTGCAGACAGCTCCTCCTGAGGACTCACATCGGACACAGCATGCAGGCAATCAGCCGGAAGCAATCTAGAGCAGAGGCCAATGGATGCAAGCTTGTCCCACCCACCCCTAACAAGACCAGGTGAGTTCACAGGGTGAGGGGAGAAGAAGGCTGAGAGGCGGGGGAGGAAGGGAGGAGCAGGCCCATGCGAAAAGCTGTGCTCCTCTGGGCTGCAGCTGTGCGTCAGGTCAAAGGAATTCTCCTTTTCTCCATGCAGTTTGGCCATGTTGTCACAGCATTAAGCATCAAGCTGCACACTGACTCCTAACGCTCTGGTTGAAGACTTAGAAGTTACGCATTTGAGCTGAATGAGATGGGCCAGTGTGTGTCATTATCCCCGTTTGTGGAGGTGATTATGGGGCACACCCAGGCTGGTTCGCTGACTTCACACCCTATCTGTGATGGGAGCTCAATTGCACTGGAATGGAACACCGTGTTTCTACTTGTGTTGAAGTTCTCTCTTTATCTGACCGTGTCTCCCATTTGTGTGCTGCAGCCACAGAGCTCAGCACACTTGTGACTGGCCCAAGGAAAGGGCCTGGTCAATCCTCACCGAAGGAGTGAATACCCTACGTTGAAAAGGCGCTGCATAGAAAGTGAATGTGAGGTGCAGCAGAATGAAATGTTCAGCAATGCTCTTGACTTGACCCGCCAGTTGTCTGGTTAAATTTGTGCCGTTGTTCTGTTAGGATTGTTTTCTTTTAAGCTCCCTCTCATCTCTCAATTTTACTTACATACTTGACATTTCTTTCCACCAGATTTGTGCCCTGCCTTTTGCCACGTCGTTTCACCAGCAAATGTCTGTAGACTTGGTACTGTGAACAGTTATAAAACGCAGCAGTAATACTGTGGGGATGGAAGCTGCCTTTTCAGAATGCATCCTGTTTGTGAATCTGACTAGTTATTTAACAAACCATAAAAACAGCTACTATAATCATTAAAGCACAGTCTTTCCTTCTCCTAAAAGAACTGTCTGGAAAAAAGAATTTTAAACCCTCAGATATGTGCTACACTTGTAGGTGGAGGAGACCTTAGGAATAACTCAGTCCTATGACGACAAAGCTTATTTTTTCTCCCCTCTGTGCTAAATTCTGCTCTGAATTATAATTATGAAGCTGATGCTAAGCCAATAAGCCCTTCTTAGCTTACGAGGTTATAGAAAGCGTTGATAAAGTGTTCCAAGATTAAGAACTACATAAAGATTCTCCTTTCCTGAGAATTGCCGCTCGCTCCCTCAAGCTAGTAGGAACAGCATACGTAAGTACAAACTATTTTTCACCCTCATGTGTCTAAAATACAACCTTTAAACACTGAGTTCTTTTCAAAAGTGATCATAGATGACATCATAGACTTGCAAAGTTTCGTTTTCTTTTTACTCTCTCTGACAAGCCATGTGAGTAGTACAATTATTTCCTACGTTGACGACATGCCACCTCAGCCCTTAGAAGCCTCCATTCTTTGGCCACTGCCTGCCGAGCCCCCAGGCCACTACTCGGTCAGCTGTGGCATCTCTTTACTCTTTCTGATGTCCGATCGCAGGGGTTAAACTTCTGCTGAATTCTTTCTTCCATCTGCCCTGCGGCTTCTCTTCCCTCACCCTGTGCTTGTCAGGGAGTCGTGGTCTCCCCATATCCCACCCTCTCTTCTGTTTCCTTTTTCACCACACTGTGAAACGCAGAGCACCTCCTTCATTTTAAGGATCTTACGGCTAATTATTAAAAGGAAAGAAATACAGGGCAACAAAAGTATACAGACACACACACTTCTCAGAGTCATTGATGTTAAAATATTATACAGAGTAACTTGCAGGGCCCCTGGACTGAAACAAGGCTTGGTAAAATTCCAGAGGAAGGCTATTTATATTGTGCCATTTAGGGTATGAAAATTTTAAATCTAATAGGATCCATTTGATTAGAGAGTTTATATTAAATTGAAGGAGTTCTTTAATTCTGTACTTGTAAAAAGAAAAAAAAGAACTTGTTGAGAATAACTACCTCACACTCTTTAACAAGAATTGTAGGCTGTTTAATAGTTACGGTCAGACTATGAACGGTCAAGGGTACCTATGATAGTAATATCCACGAGGCAAGAAATCCTTATTACTGCAGGAATTACACAGAGTGGTGACGGTCTTCCCCACAAACACCTGACTCTGCACCTGTCCCCTCACTCTCTGTAGACGACCTTGCCATCTTCCTTGCAGACAAACCAGGAGTCTCCTTGGTGTCCTACCACTGTATCTACACATCTTTTGTGAACTTGGATGCATCTTTTCTTTATTCCTTCCTATTACAGTTGAGACAATGTCCCTCCTTTTGAGGCAAATCCAATAATATTCTGATAAATGTTTAACAAACAGCTTTCTGTAAAAGAAAAAAAAAATCCTGATTCGTAATATTGGTTGATTTCTGTGATGTAAAGACTTCCACCATGGCTCATTTCAAGCTACCTGTATGACATCACAGAACAACGGTTGGAAAGAGATGTGCTCATGGGCTCTTGCGAGTCAGCTCCAGCACGTCATTGGGTCAGTCCTGTCTGAAGCCATGGTGCAGAGTGGCGGGTCAGCGCAGACTCTAGAGTTGGATCTGCCTGAGTTTGTATCCTGGTTTTAATCGCTAATATGTCTACGGTTTGGGACAAGTCATAATGTTTCTGTACTCCAGTTTTCTATATTGGTAAGACGATGATTAATCAAAACATACCCTATGAGGTAGAGCGACGTTATCCTCCTGATCCATAGCAAAAGGATAGAATATCGTCGAGGCAGAGCACCATTATTAACCCTGCTTTACAAATGAGGACGTGGAAGAACTTTGTCCTCCAGCTGCTGCTCTGCTTCTTTCCTTTTATTTAGCGGAATTGTATTCCACCTCTTCCTCTCCCACCTGGTCTTTGATGTGTTCCATCTGGCACCTGAACCCACTGTGCCATCAGCTGTGGCTGTTAAGAATATCCTCCTGTATCAGGTTGGGTTTTCTGGGCACAGACTCATAGAGAAAGATTCGTGGGTAGGAAGTTAATGGGAGAGTGCTTTCGGGAATGACTCCAGGACTGGGGGAGGCACGACTGGGAAGAGGGAGAGCTTGCCAAACTGTGGTGCATCTGCACCGGAGACCTGACCGAGGCAGCGGGGACTCTGGAACCGAGATGTGGAGGGGGCACCTCTGAACTGAGGTGAGAGGGACAGGCCCTTTGTTTACTGTATTAACTCGTCATTGAACCGGACAGGAGAAACGTTGGACCAGGACGCTCCCTTTGGCAGCTAGAGGGTAATAGGGCTGTGAGGCCCAGCAGCTCACAAACCGGTCAGTCAGCTGGGGGAATGAGTGTCCTCTAGAAAGGGATCTGGATGGACCTGTGTCCTTTATGCTGCTCAGATCCATGTGCTTCGTATGGCAAGTTCATCACATTGAGGAACAGTTGCTCCAGGTTCTCGCTGGTTTCCTTTCTCAGGAAAACTCACAAGATGAGTGTTAGTAGGATGAATTATGGCTTCGACTGCTGTAGCTGTTCTTGAGACCACCACTGATTCTCACTCTTTCCTCCTTAGTACTCATTTCCCTCACGAAAGTCACCTCGCCCTTCTCAGGCTGTGGTTGCTGCATTTGTCCATCTGCATTGTCCATCCAAAGTTGGACAGGACAGTGAGGACCAAGAGATGTTCCAGTGGACCACCTGGGTGCCTAACATGCTCCTTTCCATCCGTGCTCTGTGACAGAAGCCCTCCCTCCTCCTGGTGATCAGGCTCAATGACCTTGTCAGACGGTCACTCCTCTCCTTACCTGCTGTCTCTTGGGACAACAGACCTGAACTGACCAGGTAGTAGCCATACCTCAAAGTTAAGGAGGTATGGAAAATTTTCCTCCGTAGGTGTTAGGGCCTCTAGACTCACAATGTCTAAAATTGTGGCAGCACATTCCCCAGATGAGGCCCTGGGAGAGATGGTAAGTGAGACCACATCTACCTTCTCACTCCTTGGTTCCTAGACCCATGTATTCTACCTCCTGAGGATGCAGCACCATAGGATGCTCATTGCAGTAGGATGTATGTTCTGTCCTAGTGGACGGTGTCCCATCCTCACGGGGTCTCCTCTCCATTTGGTGCCTGATGTACACCTTAAAAAGGTTGTTCCAGTCTTCTATTTGGCTGGAAGCTTCTGGTTGGAACAGTGTGGTATAAGATCAGTGGATGCTGTTGTCACTGCCACATCTCCTTTCCTAGAAAGTGTGTCTCTTGGTTTGAGGTGGAGTTATATGGCATTTATTGTCAGTGGATTAGTGCTCTGTAAGCTCTTAGACAGCAGTGTTGGCCAAAGCCTTGTGGGCAGAAAAGGCAAATCCACACCCAAAATATGTACCAAGTCCAGTCAAGGAAATTTCTACCCCTTTCAGAGTAGATGGAGTCCAAACTAAGTTGCCACCAAGGAGTGGTCTGTACTGGGGGCTCAGTGTTGATGTCGGTTGCTGGTGGGTTGAACACTCAGCAGTAGGATAAGCTAGATTATCCTTGGTGAGTCGAAGCCCATGCTATTGGACCCACATGTAGTCTCTATCCCTGTTCCCTGGCTACTCCCTTCATGAACCATTGTGCCAGCACTGGGGGTGGAGGGGTCTCTGACATCAACTGGCTGAGACATTCTGTCTACCTGGTTGTCTAGTGCCTCTTCCACGGCTCTCAGTTGGGCATTGGTACGTGACAAAGAGAAACCACAGGAAGAAAACAGCCTTGCAGGTTCTTCTACCTCCCTCAACAGGTGGAAGAGTCGCGTGGCAAACCCAAAGTGTGGTGTGAAGAGGACCAGCCCCAGCATCACAAAGCCAATAGAGATGGCCGGGTTTAGAGTTGACAGCTAGATCTCAGAACAACTGGGGTAGATGAGGACTACCACTCTGCCTCCTTTAACTCTTTATCTCCCTCATTATCTGCTGTGAGATTGTCGATTAACAATCTTGGTCTGGGATAGGAGATCAATTTCAGGGATTTCCACATGGTCTTGACAACTCTGAGAGCTCTTTCCCTACATGTCAAGGAATCAGTTTGGAGTTTTGGCCACCTCCAAGTGTGTCCATTTTGCTTATACATTCAGATGCTGGGGAAATTATCATGGACAGGGTAGACCTACTCTAATCCGTATGTAGGCCGGGTCTCCATTTACTAATAGCTCCCATGTACACTCATTCTAATATGGGAGTCAAGACAATACTTCGGGTCCCTGGATATCAATATCAGTTTAGCTTCTTACCAAATTCTTGAAAGATCTGAGTATTACCTTTCCCTGATGTGTGGTTACCCAAATAAATGGCTCATATCCCTTTGAAGAAGGTCTGGGAAGAATCCTGACCTTATGTCCTTGCTGTGGTGTTAAAAGGTTCTTCATCATGAGAAACCAACTTCTTTTTTCAGTCAGTAGACTCCAAGCCTAAGATCTGGCCAAGATCTGAAAACTAGTAAGGAATCATGACTTTTTTGGGTCATTTGCCCTCAACTCCTCCAATTACCATATTCAGTTTCTTTGGGTTAAATAAATTAAGCAATATTTTTGTGGGCTTTCCATCTGTCTTTTCCCTAGAACATCACATTCCATTAAACATCTCCATAGTTCTCTGCAGGTCAGGAACTCCTGAATGAGTCGCTCATCTTGTTTATTCCAATAAGTGTTCCTGTTTTGGAGGGTCAAGCTCTGACACCTGGCTGCTGTTATTTTGGGGTCCCAGCATCCTCAGTTTTTATAACAGCATCTTATACCTTCAGCCCTGGGTTCCACAGGACAGCAACCCCTGAGCTTCTCAATCATACAAGTACCTCTCTCACCAGCATGCTCTTTATGGCTTTGGTCAATTGAGTGTCCTCTGGGTCCTTCCATGGATCATACTCAGCTGATGGGTTTTCTGGATTAAATTATACATACATTTGGGCATGACCACTTCTCTGAGCCTTCT